TTTACGTGACGTAAGTTTATAGATATAGTCCAAAATTGGGTCATATTTCAAGACTTGCTCTATATATGATTGTGATTAAAAGTGATTGATCTATTGCGTATTAATCTTGAGGTGTTTCCATAAAAGGAATGGCCAGAAAGCAAGTTATGACTTTGTTTCAATACAGTGGATTATCTCCACATCCTTTTAATTGTAAGTGATTGACTCGTTGGTCTAGGGGAATGATTTTCGCTTAGGGTGCGAGAGGTCCCGGGTTCAATTTCCGGACGAGCCCTAAATATTTGTTTTCGAAATAAACTTCGTTTGGCGTTCGCCACTGCCGATGATTTCCAATCTAGACTCCAGCTGTAAAGTACGTTTTACCCAGAACATACCAAAACTTGAAGATATCTAATGATTTTTAATCGAACATTTCTGCACAAGGCATTATAATACACCCCCCTGAGTGTTCCCGTCGCCTTCAAATTTCATGACGTCAAAGTCATTGTTTAGTACTTGAGTACGTCTATGGTACTTCCAAACAAATCGAAAATTGCCACCAAAGTGGATTTCCGCGAGTGGACGAGGAATGAATTCCTTCCAGAATAAAATTAACAACTGCCCCCCCAAATAATATATATATAATTACAGTTACACAGCGTGAAATAAATTAGCCCTGACAATTATTCACGAAGCGATTTTGAGGATTTATGCCGTACGACTGTTTCCAGTCAGAAAAATCTATTACAGCGACTTTCACCGTAAAATAATTGGAATAATCGCCAACATTGAACTCGAACTTTTACAATCACATGCAATTACGGGAAAATGAATTTGTTTCACTACAGTGTACGTTTGGGATTGTCCTGTGAAGGAAACGACATATTGGCTCGTTGGTTTTGGTACGGGATATCGCTGGTTCAAATCTCGATGATATCGCTTTCTTTTGTATACAACAGAATAGTACGCTTTCTTTGAATGTTCTATTCTTTTGAACTAATATTTATTATTATACACCTGTCACCTTAACGCCATAAGTTACAGCGTGCTGTAATTTTGCGGTACTAGTATTTTACGGGGTATTTTCATCCTACCATATAAGGAAATGCAAATTCCAAATATGGAATGATTACGCGCGTAAGTGTCCTCCAATAATAAAAAACAAACATGGTTGCCACCAGGGTTTTACCCGGACTCCACACAAAGAAGTTCGCTGATTCTGTTCTAAACTTTTTGGATTTCGGCATTCTTATGATGTATCCTTGGAAGGAAAAAGATGTATAATAATAAGGTTATTACAAGAATACCTCAAAGTATGCACTAAGACAGTACGCCGTTGCATCGACCTTCGCTGCGCGTCGGAAATCACATCGCTTCGGAAAGTTCAATCCATGTCCGTGTTCCACGGTATGCTGAGCTAAATCACCTTATGGTCGGTAACGCAAAGCACCACGGGACAAAAGAGGAATACCCTTGTTACACCTCGTGAA